AGTCTAAGCCAGTGTTTGCTCCTAAAGAGGAAGAGAACATTGACATTGACCCGAAATGTTCTAAAAATAAAATTTTATTTTTACATGTCATATCTCCCCTTCTCTGGAACTGGTTCAGGTTCTTTCTTCTCTTCTTCTACTTTCTTTCTTTCTTTTCTTTCTTCTTCTTTTCTGGTGGAGTTTATGTCAAATCTGGCGCAACCATATTTATGTAAAGTTCTTTGTCCTTTAATAGCTCATCTATTCTGTTTTCTATTTCATCTTCAAGAACACCGCATGTGTCTTCTTTGCATTCTAGAACTTTGTTGGACTTCATCTTTCCAATCGGCGTCATCTCTGTCAACAAGTCTGTCATTGACAAATTTTAAGACTGCTCTGCTTAATGTTTTATGGTTCTTGTCATATTCCAGAAACAGAACTTTAGAACAAATTCACCTTTCTTGTTTACACTATGTAAGATTTTATGGTCGACAGATGTTTTGCTGTCGAAAAGCTTGTCTCGAATATAGATGGCGAAATCGCTAGACATTTTCAAAAAGATAAAAATTTTTAATTTTTCTAAAAATATTTAGAAAAAAGTTTGCTGACATTGACAAGAAATTTGAGAATGTTTTAAACAAGAACAAGGTGAATTAGAAAATGCTCAGATAAAACCCATACATGACAAGTTCTTATTTGCTCAGAATGGATAAACAGGTCTAATTGCACCGCCTGGGTCGGGTAAGACTTTCACTTATCTTAAAATGGCTGCACAACAACAAGAACTAGATGAGAAGAACCCATTCTATTGAGTTTAGTTGTTATTTGTAGTACTTCTGGTCAATTTGACCAAACCGTAAATTCGTTCAAAGATATTATAAAAAAGTCTAAGTTAGTATGTATAAAAGACTCTGAGTTGTTAGATTGGATAAAGAAGTACCAAAGAAGAGTTTTGAAGTACAATGCTATAAATGAGTATATAAATTCTAAGTTTAAAGACCCAAATGAGGAAATGCAGAGAATATTAGAGAGAAACACTTCAGAAACAAACAGAAAAGATAGAATACATTTCGAAGAAATTGCAATCTTACGATTGGAAGACTTACCCTCACAGATGTCTTCTTATCTTAGATGATTTCGCCTCTCATCCTTTGTTAAAGATAGAGAACAAGACATGTGTCGAATTCTTAAGAAGCTCAGACACTTCAACATCTCTGTTGTCATTTGTGTACAGACAGCAAAGAGTTTAAGTAAGGATGTAAAGAGAATACTTACTGACATTGTACTTTTCCCCGGATTGTCCGAAGACGATTTCATGGAACTTATGAAAGAGTCCATGGCAGGTAAGTTTGACAGACATGAACTATGGGAGAAGTACAAAGTCATACAAGACCCTCATACTTCTTTCAGAATTCATATCTACGCAAACAAAGTTCAAATTGTAAAAAGTCAAGCTTGAAAATGTAAGTGTTTTAGTCTTAGTCTGTTGTGGTGCTGCAGCTTTCGGTTCTTCTGGCTTTGGAAGACATTCAGGAAGAGGAACGTCAGTCATCCGTTTGTGTCCTGTCGGATGGAAGAACTTTTTCTGTCGGAAGGAAGAACTTTTTCTGTCGGAAGGAAAAATTTTTTCTGAAGTTCGACCAAAAAGTTCTCAATTTTCGAAAATTTGAATGGTTTACGGACGAACAACAGGAAAAATTTTTCCAGTTGTCAGGAAATTTTTTTCCAGTTGTCGGGAAATTTTTTTCCAGTTGTCGGGAAATTTTTTCCCTGTCGGAAGGAAGAACTTGGAATGTCGGATGGAAGGACTCGGAATGCCAGAAGGATTTGACAAGACAATTGACCTTATAGAGCTACCTGAGCCATCTGAAGTCAAGCTTGAAAAATAAATGGTTCATTTACTCTACTTGTTTGAAGTTGTCAAAATACTCTGTTATTTTTTCTTTCAGTAGCGGCAAATCTTCTTTGAAGGTAAGTATTGTACAACTTTAATATCATAGTGTGTTTGAGTAAAGTATCTCTGAACTATTTGTTTCACATCTTCATTTGGTGTCATTGAAATCGTAAGTTTTCGCGATAGAACCAATTTCTGTCAGATTTGTAAATCTTAGCAAGGTCGTAAAAGCTTTTGTTGTTTCTTCTGACTAAATGCAACATAACCATATCTCTGTCTTCTTCATTTTCCATCTCTTCAGTAAATCATATACTTATAGTTCTTTTCCTTTCCTTTTGGTACCGAACGTGGTATTCTTTTCTGTATGTTTTTGTCTTCTTTCTCATATCTTCTCTCTGCTTTGTACAAAGTTCGTCAAGTAGCATAAGTATGTAGATTGCATAACGAGGTGAAGCCCACATTGCTATTGAACTAACTAGGAACTTATGAACATATATACCTTTTAGATGTGATGGTAAGTTTTGTCTGTCTTGGTACATTTTTTAAGTTCTACATGTTCGAACTCACTGAGGAGTTCATGAGTGCTATTTAATTCAAACCAGTCTTGTGGTTTCTTAGTATCTGGAGCAAAACATGCTGTCAAAATACTTTGCATTTGGTACATGTCATCTTTGACCGAACGAATGAGACGGAGTTGTTTGTTTAACTGAACCCACTCGTATTCTTCATTTATAGCTTCATGAACGATAGCAGTTGTTGTGTTCTCTGTTGTTGACATATCTGTCTTTACATACAAAATAAAAAAAATATTTTATAAAAAACTAGCGTTATTTTCTATCTTGTATAAAAGACCAAAAATAAACGCTTTACATGTATTTTTCAGCAACTTCGTCAAATAATTTTATAGCACTATCTATCTCATCTACTTCAAACGTTTCTTTACCTTTTATGGGAGCACCATACATTTTCTCAAACTTTTCAAGTAGTTCTGTTTCAGCAGCTCTCATATCGTTAACGAACACAACCTTGACTCTATTGACTATACTGTCATATCTTTGAGTTATATTATATGTTCTTCCTATCTTATATTCTTTGTATTGAAGTCCTTCGGTTTCTGAACGATGTAAAGTAAGCCTTCACTGCAACGTTCCGTATCGAATGAACCATACGTTATGAAGTTATATCCAACAACTGGGTCTAACCATAACAAAAACTATTGGTATAAGACTTTTGTCTATAAGATATGCTCTTGTTCCATGAAATGCTACCGATATCAAAAGCTCAGGATTTCTTGTCAAAATTTCTGAGTAGAAGCAATTTTAACCCAGTCCTTCGGTCTCTTTCCAAATGGAGATAAAATGTCTGACAAAGAATATTTTCTTGTATTTCTTTGAGTATCTTACGTTTAAATCACATATTCTAACCATTTTGGTGTCATTGTCTATCTTTCTAACTGTTTCAAACTCAATGTTTAACATTTTCTGTTTCTTACATACAAAATAAAAAAATAAAAAAAAATAAAACTAACGTTATTTTTTTATTTTGTATAAAAGATATGATTTCAGGGATTTTTTTACGAAGTGTCAAAGTTCTCTTCGTCAAAAAATAACAGTTATATAATGAAATTTGGTCATTTTTTCACGATTTTCATGAGTTTTAGGTGACCAGGTTTTTTCCCTACTCGCAATTTTTCACGATTTTCATGAGTTTTAGGCGAGTAAGATTTTCTATCTTGTATAAAAGATATGATTTCAGGGATTTTTTTTACGAAGTGTAAAAGTTCTCTTCGTAAAAAAAACAGTTTATCAAATGTTTGGTCATTTTTTTACGATTTCAGGGATTTTTTTTACGAAGAGAACTTTTACACTTCGTCAAAAAAATACAGTTATATCATGAAATTTGGTCATTTTTTCAGCAAAAATATATTTTAGGTGTCACCAGGTCCCTCGGTCCCTCGGTCCCTCGGTCAACTAACATCTTTTTGAAAATAGTGACAACATGACATTTTGACAACAACACAGGAAATAAACTTCTTCGTACATGTTTTGTCAAAACTTCATCGTCAATGAGCGTAAATCAGACAAAAATATATTTTAGGGTAGAAGGTTAGATCTAACCTGTTTTCTAACCTGTTTTCTACCCTCTTGAATTTTGTATAAAAGATATGATTTCAGGGATTTTTTTTACGAAGTGTAAAAGTTCTCTTCGTCAAAAAAATAACAGTTATATAATGAAATTTGGTCATTTTACTCGGCAAAAATATATTTTAGGTGAAGAGGTTAGATCTAACCTGTTTTCTAACCTCTTTTCTACCCCAGTTATTTTATAAGCGTTTTACATGGTAAACGTTATGAATTCGTGAGACTCTAAACAGTTTTGTAGCTTCTATTTCTTCGCTGAGGATATCGAATGTTTTAACTATGCCGAAAGTCTCTTTATATTTCTTCTTGACGTCAGATAGAAGGAAATCGTCAGCTGTTGGATAGTTTTTGTTTAGAAATGTCAACATGTCCATTTTATCTTCTGCTGGTTTCTCTGCTTCTTTCTTTAAGTCAGCATAGTCGTTTCTCATTCTTTCTATCTCTTTGACGGAGTAGTTATATCTCCTCATTGCTGCCTTACATTTTGAACATTGCGGGTTCATTTTTGCGTTATATTCTGAAACCTTACTGCTAAAACAACTAAGGCGTCAATGGTTTTTCTTTAACTCAAAAGCTGCTGGTCTTATTTGTTTGTTCCATATTTTACATCTTTTATCTTTATCTCTTATCTGCCATACACATTCAGCAACTAACGAAACAAAGTTGTCGTAGGTCTTAAATTCTTCAGATTTATATATGTCAGAGATGTTCTTATATACCATGTCGCAATCTTTGTCCATGACTTTGTGGTTGCAATGAAATCCAAGAAACTCATAGTTTACCTTTCGTATGAACTTCTTTATTTCTACTGAGTCAGTTGCTTTGACTTCAATTTCGTCGAATTCAGGAATAGTGAGCTTTTGTTGTTGATTTCAGGCAATTTGGGTAAATGGTCAATAATGTCCTGCATGTCGTAAAGATACTGTTCATTTTGTTCATCTTTCGCACAACAGTCCAAAGTACTTGTTAAAAGTTCCTGCTTTATCTTCTGGATTTCTGTTTCAAAAGTATATGAAGAAGGAATGAAGCTTTTCATTTCTACTAACATAGATGTTGGATTCATGACTAACGAGTTTGGTGCTGTTGTTTGAATTGTTGTTGCTTCGACTGACATTTCTGTTCTTTTATACAAAATAAAAAAAATAAAAAAATAAAACTAACTTTATTTTTTATTTCGGGAAAATTCATGAAAATTCAAGAGGGTAGAAATGAGGTTAGAAAACAGGTTAGATCTAACCTTCTACCCTAAATTATATTTTTGGGTCCTTTACGCTCATTACGATGAAGAAGTCTTGACAAAACATTTACGAAGAAGTCTTGACAAAACATTTACGAAGAAGTCATGACAAATTCAAGAGGTTAGAAAACAGGTTAGAAAACAGGTTAGATCTAACCTTCTACCCTAAATTATATTTTTGGTGTAAATTTCATTGACTGACTGACTGACGGCACAAAGTGGCATAACGAAAACATTTACGAAGAAGTCTTGACAAAACATATACGAAGAAGTCTTGACAAAACATATACGAAGAAGTCTTGACAAAACATTTACGAAGAAGTCTTGACAAATTCAACGGGTGAAAAAAGAGGTGAGAAAAGAGGTGAGATCTAACATGCTAACATAAACTCACTTTTTCAGCACTTTTCCGTAGTTATATATGAAAGACAATTCGAGATAAAAGTCATAGTACAATGGAATAATATGTTGCACACCATTTGTTGTGAACCAAACTTGAAAGTCAGAGAAACTGTTACTAGGTGGTTCGTAGAATTTAGAACCAAAGTCATAAAAGTCCTTACCGATACATAGAAAACTATTGTTGCTTGAACTGAAACTTGCATGGCACATAACATTTTGAGGGTCGAACACATTTCTATAAACTGTCAAATTGCTGGTGGAAGTATAAATTGAAATGGACCATCTGGTGGTAATGGTTCGTTCTGGTTTAGTAACCGAAGAAATTGTGCCCAAGAACCGTTTGTCTACTCCCCAAAAATAAAAACTCTGTATCTCTTGGAGGGTTAATTTCAATCTTTTGAAATGAAAACGGTGGAGTTCATCTTGTCATATTCTAGTTTCAGATAGTATGTTCCATTTAGTAAAGAGTCGTATTTTTCTTTGAAATTCCCAATAGTATTTGTTCATTTGAGTTTGAAAGTCATTTAGAGTTTTCTCAAGACTTTCGTCTGAACGAACTGTAAAGATCCTCATTTCGTCAAATTTGTCTATTAGACCATCAGAACCTTTATACTGCCCATGAAAATATACTGCGAACATAAATGCGTTAGTTCTATTTGAAAACAAAACTCTTCTAAATCCTATTGCCTTTGCATCTGAAGGACTTTGAAGCCAACGAACTGGATAGTCAAACCTGTATACTCGGGATGAAATTTCTTCATCTGAAATAGTCCTACCAGCATTTGTAAAGATATAGTCTAACGGTTTTGTATCTGCTACTTTTGTTCTTTGTTTTTCAACCTGAAGCATTTAATATATGTAAAAATATATTGTTTTAAAAACGTTTTTACTTCATGCAATTTTTTATTTCATGCAATGTTTTATTTCTGTGCCGTCTTCAAGTATGCCCCAGTACTTACGCTTGGAGAGGACATGAACTTCGGAAAATACCTTATCTAGCTTAAAACAGCCCATCTTTTCACCGACCATTCCCATTTCAATGAGTTTGTTGTACCCTTCTTCGTTCGTCATGAGTGCGTCAATGTTCTCAAGTAAACCACAACTTTGGATTTGACTTCGAGAAGAATTTGTTGTAGTTGTCAAGTTACTGCCTTTGCGAACTGAGGGTAAGACCAATGTTCGACAATAGATTTTAATGTGGTTACTAAGCCATTTTGACCTTGAGTGAACTCGTACTTCAAAACAAAAGGAGAAAACCTTTCAACAAAGTTGTCGACCTTCTCATAATGTTTACTCTTCATCTTTTGAGGTTTCTTAATGGAATATCCCCATGTCGAATTCATAAGCAATTTGAGTGTCATTGCAAGTTTGGGGTTTGAAGCTTTCCTAATATCATACAGTTGTTGTATGACTTTTCCAACTGTATAGTTCCTTCCCGGGAACTCACCATCTTCGTTTGGAATTCCAGTCGGAATATATTGGACAAACTTCATGTACGCAGCGTTAAGGTCGACATAGTATATCTTTTCGTTTGAGTCGAACTTGTCGCAACCAATTGGTCCAGTTTGTGGAAATTCAAGTGAGTCTCTTATCTTCTGAGAAACTTCTCCTGTTATCTCATAAACATCGTCGAAGCAACCTGTTTCATATAAAACCTTCTGACCTAACTCAGATGCTCTCCAATACAATTTGACGTCAATTGGATGTCTCAATGGAAGTTTGTTTATAGCATCTTGAAGTTCTTGCAACCTCATTGGAAGTTCTTCTGGTTCAGGTTGGTATCCGAACAATCCAACTCCTTGTGGAATTGTGTACTTCTTTTGTACTAGAACTTTGTCTGGAACAACTTTTGGTCTTGCTAACAGTGAAAAGTTTGTTTCGTCTTTTGGTACAAAAGTTTCTGTCAGCTTGTCATCTGGAATTGGTTCCAACAAACCTTTCTCGAAAAGAATGTTTACAGCTCTGACAATGTTGCACTTGCCTTTTCCGAACAATGGGTTTGTAAGACTTTCGTTCAACATGAAGTGGTTGTGGACAAGTACAATCTTCAACCATGGCAATTTGAAGTCAAAACATAGTCGTCATGTGAAGAACCTTTCTCAGTCGGAATGTTGACTCGGATATTGACATTTGCCAACGGTGCAATCTTTGCCAATTGACCTCTGAGAATGTACCTTGTCTTCACACATGACTCAAGATACTTCATTTTCTCATCTGTAACAAGACCAGAGTTCCTGAGACATGTAAGAATACAAGGTTCATTGACAATTGTTTCAATTGAATTGTAAATTCCATACTTGTCAAGTCAATGTCAGACTTATTTCTGAAGGGGAAGTATCCAGCATGTTGTCTGACTGCTTGAGGGTTAGGTTGGTACCATTCGAACTTGACACTTGCAATTCCTTCAATTGCATTCAAAATGTCTGAGTCGGAGTCAAACATTTGTTCTCTCTTTGTAGTCTTGAAAGCGTCAAGAAGTTGTGCGGCTGTTGTGACATTGCCATGTGCATAGTAAATGTGACCATCCAAATCTGTTATGGTCAATCTGAGATTGTATCCTTTCTTATTTCCGTCTTGTATGGCAGCAAGTACACCCATGAAGCCTTCTTTGTTCTTTCCTTCGTCAAAGTTTACTGTAAAGGTTCGACCAGATGTAATTTGACTTCTAACTTCACGGTACTTCTCATATGCATATCTTGTTCTTTCCATGGGAACATGTGCGTCTTCACCTTTTCCTTTTTTCCTTCTCAAGGATGCAATTGTTCGTCATGTTTCCAGTAGAATCTGGCAAAGCCGTCGTGTCCCTCAACTTGAGGTTCACTAACATCGAAAGGCATGTCCATAAGACGTTCTTCTTCTAACCTCTCTAGTCTGTTTGGATAATTGGCACGTGCTGTTTCCAAATCCATTTCGTAGCGAAGACCAGACAATTTGTCATAGACTTTATGGGTCTTCCCTTCCTATATTTAAAATTCTTCGAAACTCTCCAACCATATCTTTGCAACTCTGCTTTTATTCTAGCAGACTTTCTGTCCATTCTATATGGGGGCATTTTTATAAAAAATAAAAAAATATTTTTTTCTCTTACTTTACATAACTGCCTGCTGCCATAAGTCTTTGACGCCAACCCATACCAGCTAATGAAGGTTGACTTGGTTTAGTTTGGAAACTAAACTTTGGTTTTGGTTTATCTTCAGTTTTTGGTTTCTCTTCTTCTATCTGTTTTTCGTCACTTTCCGGTTCCTTTGACTTTACTTCACCTGCAGGAACAGTTGTGTCGTCAACATCTTCATAAATATCATATGCCATTTGTTTTTGTTTTCCTTTCAACTTTTTGTGTTTTTGTAAAGTTTAGAATATTTCGACTCTAAGTCAATGAGATGTTCTATAATGAACTGTTGGTCAGTGAAGTAAACTTTTCCATCTGTTGTCTCGAAAGCTCCTTCAGACTTCAATATTTTATTTGTGAGAGTCTGTTTCTTTTTTGAGATACTAGCCGTTCCATTTTTATGAAAGTGACTTTGTAGTTAGGGTTTGTATTTCCAGACCTGGCACTTTCTATTATTGAATTTTTCTCTTCATCTGTAAGTTCTTTGACGGGTTTTGACAATGGTTCTGAACTTTTTGTTTGTGGTGTCAAATCTACCGTTTCAACTTCTTCGGTCATTTCATCTCAGTAAAAAATTTTAGTTTGGTTTGTTTTCAAACTGGTTGTTGTTGTTTTTTAAGTCGGTCTAAAACTTCCTGAGGTATAGGAAGAACTTGACAAACACGTGGTGTAACTGCTGGAAGTCGACAAATCCATCTTGAACCCATTTGTCTCAATGCTGTATTGTTCATTTCATCTCAGTAAAAAACTTTACATTCCCCACGTTTGAGGCGGTTGAGGTTGGTTATTGTTTACCCACTGTTGTGCATGGTTATATCCTCTGTTAAAGAATCTTTCACCTTGGTCCATATAGTGTCCTGCTTGGTTATAGTAGTCATTTGCTTTGTTATAATAGTTTCCTGCTTGTCTTCCTACATTGTCCATCCATCCTTGAACTTTTCCTCTTGTTTCAGGATTTGGAATAAGATTTGTTGCATCTCGTGCTACATCCCAACCTTTCTGTACAGTTTGTATAATAGGTTGTGCTTTCTCTTTAAGTATACCTAATGTACTCAAAATCTTCCTTCCAACTCCAAATACACCTCTGGCTATTGTTCCCACTGCGGGCAAAAATCTGGATGCAACTCCTGCTAACGCGCCAAATAAACCCATTTCTTATGGGTTAAAAAATGACGAATCCAAACAAGGACCCCTATGTTTCTAAAGCGACAAAGAAAGCACTCATGGTAAAAATCTTTAGTTCAACACCAAATGCTTTGTTTATGGATATCTTGGAAAACATTCCGAGAGTTAGAACAGATGGACCACCATACTGGCTAATATTTGTTGGTCAAAACACAAGATACTGTGAAGCCATACCATTACA